CTGAAAGTGGGAGAATATGTAAGTTAATGCCATTAACAAGAGATTTCAGACGGGATGCTCTAGCATCATTTTTGAGAAGACAAGTATTGAAATCTCCCATGACAATAGTGTGATTATAAAGCGAGGAGTATTGTTCTAAAAAACTCGCGTTCTGTTATATTTACAGCGAGCGTTAACCACTGAGCTACCACGGCTACGGCGGCGAATACTTTACAAACATATATTTAAATTAGGTTAGGTTCCCCGGTTAAAACTAACTTCGTGTCCTTGAGGAAAATAGCTACTTACGATTTCACAGCGCTTACCGCTTACGATCGCTTGCTAGCACTTTTTTCTGCCAAACGCACCCAATGTTGCAATGCTTTCGAGAGTATGTGTTATGTTTGTGTATTTCTTAGGCACATTCCGCTCTTAACGGATTTATGGTAAGCGACTACCGTTGTAAATGACATGTAAAACACATGTATATATTTTAAAGAACTTTACTTGTATTAAACAGTGTATTTTACGCATCATTAATTTGTTTATAATTACGTTACGTTTCATTGTCTCCCATATTTACGCGTACGATTTATGGATGTGACACATCTCTAAGTTACATCTCACGCGCCAACCGCACACCTTTCTTTCTTCTAACCTTGACAGACTAATTTAATTAGAAAATCGTAATGGTTTCATGTCTCGCGTAGGCTGGGTGGTATGTGTTGAGCAGCAACAGTTGGACCAAACGAAAATCTAAAAACGAATACGTTTTAATTGGCAATAATATTCACGTTATTATCAACTTCACTTCATTAAAACAAAATAAATATTTTTGTGCTATTTTGGCTAAACATTAACTACTGTCTTTACCATAATTTAATACACCACTGTTTGCTAGTGGCAAAACGTATCGTCTTTTTAGGAAATGGCGAAGGTATGTAAATTATTATTAGAATTTAAAAAATGTTCATAGGGTATTTATCTTAAAACACATACTATAAAAAAGATAAAAATAACTGCACATTAACAAAACAAAATAAAATCAACACATTTTTTTCTTGGCAAGTGGGAACCCTAATAGTATTTGGCAATTAAAAATACCTAGTCATACGTGAATATTGTAGGTATTTTTATTTGTCAAATAAAAATACAACAATAATAGTCCCATATTGGCAGTATGTAATTATAATAATAAGAAAATATGGGGTCAAATATTTTACTATGCCTAGCAACATTTTCATCATATTGGCGTCTGTCAAATTTAAGATTTATTATTTTGTTTTGATGAATGTTTTTTATAAAAATATAAGATGCTAGGCAGTAATTACCAGTGAAATGAGATTTTTAGATTTTTTTCATGATTATGTGATGAGTTGTGTCACCCTTTTAAAGCACGCTAAGTTGTTTTTTTGCAAAATGGCGCGAGCTCTTTACACCACTACTGAAAGTCGTACTTAGCCTTAAAAGGCTAACTTGAAACGGCTTCACTTTGCGTGCGCATGCTGCGGTTCTAAGCCTAATAATTCTATGTTTGGCCATGCTTCGAAGAATCTGAATCTACGAGAACAGAGCAGCCTAATGAAGAGTGACGCAATAATACCATTGCTGATGAAATTGCCTTCTACATCAGTTTCGCAAAGGCTGACAGAGGTTTAAACCCATATGAGTGGTGGTCTTTGAGTACCAATAAGAATCGATTCCCAATTTTAAGTAAGCTTGCTAAACTATATTTAGTCATACCAGCAAGATCGGTTTATTCAGAAAGACTATTTTCTGACGTAGGTTTGGTTTACGAAAAAAGCACCACTCGATCCCTGTCGTGCAGAAAAATTAGTTTTTCTGCACCACAATCTACCTCTTTTAGACTTTGAATATTAATTAAAAAGCCTTATTAACTTCAACATGACTGATTTTTGCTAACTTTTATATTTTTAATGATGGTTATATATTAATACTAAGTGTGTTTTGTTTAAAAGATAAATACAAGTAATTATTTTGTCTATCTATAGTTTTTCTGTCCATTTAATATAAGTTTATTTTATTTAGACAACTATTCGCCGAATATCGAATAATAAACATTATTACTCGCTATTCGACGAGTAACAAAAAATGCCGAGTAATGCCGAGTACCGAATAATAACGAGTATTCGCGGCATCTCTAAAATATATATTAATTAGAATCTGAATTTTATTACAGAAATTTTTGCTTTTTGTGTACTAATTAAATGTTATTGATTTAAAAAATGTTCGAATTGTATTATAAATCAAATTCAAAAATTATGCAACAATATGAAGTGTTTTAGATCTCCTTACACAAAAAAGCCGATAGTCGAAGTGACACCGTGACAGTTTGATGGACGTGTACAAATTTTATGTCAAGCCACAATACACGTTGCGTCCGGGTCCACTTGTCCGAACAGACTTTAATAATAATAACGTTTTTGTACGAAAAAAGCGTCATTACATCATATTCGTTGGGTAACGTCATAGTTGGCTTGGGTCTAAATAACTGGCGATATGATAATGTAATAAGGCAATTGTGACAAATTCAATCTAACCAACAGTATGACGTCATCGATGAGGACTAATATGGAATGCTTTTTTTTCTAATAAAAAGGCGTTTCCGGTTTCCGTCAATCTCCATAGGTACGAAAGACAGCAAGCATTATGCTTTAGGCTGTTTTTTTTAAACGTGGTCTTTCGCTGGTCGAATCCACACATTTGTGCTGTGCTGCGGCCATCTCTACCACGTTTTACCGAGGTTGTAGTGCTAGTAGTTGTTGTAGGCTTCTCGGCTGTGAAGACGTTTTACGTGGATTCTTTCTGTGCAGGCAAGTGAGAACTTACCTTGTGGTTACTGTTTATAAGTTTCATTCTAAATTGTAGTGCAATGTTTAGTTTTATCGAAAAAGAGAAGTAATAATCTTTTTAGTCGTTCTTTGTTGTTGAAAGGTCTTCATATTTTAACATTTTCTTTTAGATCCATCAATACACATCTAGCATTGGTAACCTGGCACGATTACGATCCAAAAATATGAACTGAGCCAATCTTTTTAAACATTCAAATATTATTTTCCCTTACAACTTTTGTGTCTCTAACACTGACCTCTATATACTTTTATATATAAAGGGCACTGGGTTACACATAAGGTGCTCTCAAAACCTATGTTTGCACCGAAAAACATCCAATGTGTAACGCTTTGAAACGAAACGCGTAAAATCAGTCACACAACATGTTTTGTAGATGGTCGCGTTCTTACTTACAAAACCTGTGTAAAATTTTCAAAAGATATTAAGACTTGTTATCTGTGTTCGCATTGAGTACAACATAGACATTCCATTTGTGTCTATAGATCAGTCAACGTTAGCGTTCGCACTGTTGTTTTGTATGTTTCGCGATTTGTTTCAAATCGTGTTTTTTTTTGTTGTCCAATTTAGTTTCTAAACATCATAAAACACTTACCCCTAGCGGAGGAAAACGATAACTTTATATTAAAAAAATAAATGAGGTATATACCCACTAACTCCATCTATAGTCAGGCTACCTGCAATTCTCTCTTGTGGCGGGAAAATTTAGTCCTTTTTTTGAGGGGGTTTTATTTGGAGTATTTTTTTGGGTTTCGCGTATGTAAAATATTTTAAAATATTACTTGTATAATAGTGTCAAACGTCCAACACACAACACTACACCATGTTTTCGATACATTGTCAAAAAACAGTGTTTTAAAAAGTTTTTTTTTTGTGAAAATCTCGTCAGTGCAGTCACAGTTACAACAACACTCTGCGTGTGCGGTTGGTCTTTTAGTTTTTGAAATTTCTTAAACTCATTCCTTATTAAATTCTGGAATATGTTCTCGAATTTTCAAGTGCACCTGAAAAATATTTCGTTTTTTAATTAGAGTGTGTATGAATAGTGTTACACGAATTTCAGCTACAACACGGGGCTTTATTAATAAATACTACTATTAATATGAATACAAACTTTCATAAAGCCCCTATTTATGCATAAATCATTTGTACCCGGCCTGGATGGGAGTAGTCTATGATCCTTACTGTGATTAAAATTCTTCCTGTCCAGTCCGGTTGCTTTGTTGTAGATAGTTGTATTGTTTTGTTGATCGAGTCGGGGTCCAAATCCGAGAAAACAGTGCATATTAAGACATAAGTACATTTCGATGGCCACATATAGCAGCGTTTAAGACAGGTATATAATATACTAGATTTACCTTCAGCAAGTTCGGCAGCTTAAAAAGTAACGCCAGGACAATGGTTGGACATATAGATTGTAGAATTTCAGTCTCTGTGTAATTTGCTGTATAGGTTGAAAAACTTTATATGATGATTTTAATTTTCCGTGTAACGTAAACGAATTCGAAAACTATTTAACTTTGAGTTTCTGTTACCATTTAACGAACTACAAACCAAATACTAATGATTGATACGTTTTTGGGAAAACAATAGCTAGTATCGATTTTTTTGCTTCTTGTTCGATATGAAAATATTTTTACGAGCTTGAGGTTCGTGACAATAAAAACTGCCGATTGAATTACCAAAATTTACACTTTTACTACCGAACACCAATTAAAACTTAAAAGGCGCTAATAATTACTCATACTGATTCACTTTATTTCGCTCCGAAGCTTCCTTTGTCTTGCCAAATTCAATACTACCTCGATCACTGCGTGCAGCGGCTTTAAATACACCTTTTCCACCGAAACATCCAGAATATTCCAGTAAATACGGGCGCCGACCGACCAGGCGCAGAAAGTTCGAGTGTGGGGCTTCTAGAAAGCTTAATTCTTCTGTTCGATACTAGATGTCGCTGTTGGTGGAAGTTCAAAATTGACATTTTCTACGAAGCCCTCCTCGCTCTGGTCCCCGACACTAGATGGCGCTAGTGCCAGGTACCAGACGTTAACTTAGGCGCGTAACAATATCATTATATTCGATCTTGTTGGTCACTTAAATTATATCTGACAATAATTTTACGTTTGTTCATTCATAGTTTCTTATTACAGGCTCAGAGCACACCAAAGACTACACAGCGGCGATACATTCAACTGCCAAGCAGATGGATGCACAAAATTCTTTACAACGCTAAGCGACCTTAAGAAACACATTCGCACACACACGCAGGAGAGACCTTACAAGTCAGTATTGCTCTATCTGGTATGAATTATAATAAACGTAATCACATTTTGTCCCTTAACTAGAGATTTCACCGCCCATTTTAAGTCGTAGATAATAAGAGCAGGTAGACTTGATAAAAATTTGCGATAATTTTGATATAACTTACAGATGGTGAATTAACCATGTCATACACGTCAGACATGATATTCTCAGACCGAAAGCAGAGTTAAGGTACAGATTTAAGATGTGAAGACATAGCGCATAAAATTATCTCATATTTATGTAATAGAAGGTAAACAGCTGTTATCAATGGCAGTAGTTTCTTCCTGATCGTTCGTTATGATGGGTGTCCCTCAGGGATCAATTCATGGCATCTTCTTATTCTTAGTTTATATTGATGTCTTGCCTTTATCAGGAAATAACCATGATATATAAATTTGCCAATAATATTTCGTTGATTTGCAGAATTACGGAAATCGTTAAAATAGACCAAGTGAATAATACTGTATTAAAATTAGTACACTTAAATGTTAAGATTCTGCTTTTTTATTGAATGCACTACACCCAATGTCAAACACTTGAATACTAATGTGCTTTTAAATGGGAATTTAATATCATTGAGTGTACTGTTTTTCTCGGAATTACTATTGACTCGACGCTTCAGTGAGGCCCTCATATTTATAAAGTAGTTAGTAAAAAATATTAGAAACATATGGAGTCTTGCTATGGGGTAACACATGCAAAAACATTGAGACTGTTCTGTTCAATAAGTCGGTTTTCTTGGGTAATTTTAGGAGAAAAAAAATCGCAAGCTGGCGTCACCATTATTTGCTGTTAATTATGAAGTGTTGGATTTTTTCCCATATTTTATCCGAAATCTTGCTTGAATTGTGGTTTTTAAAATGCCAAAATCATTAAGAAGTGGTAAACGGGCATTACTTCATAAAATAATAAAATATTGTGGACGAGAGAAATCGAACAAAGAGTTTTGGTGGATAAAAAATAAAGTAATGCAGTGTGTGTCCGCCATGACCGGTATGTAGTAGGTTAAACGTTATTTTGTACTTGATTACTATTTAATATTGTAAGTAACAATTATTTTTATATTAGTATTAATATTATTATCGTAGTGTATTCGAAAGTAGTATTATTAAATTAAAAATACATAAATCAGTATTATCTACAATAAAAATAAAATAATCATAATAATGTAGTAATGTACCTAATCAAGCTGCATAAAAACTTGGTTATAATACAGATTATTTCCGTATCAGGTATTTCAAGATTTACACTTACTCGAATCAAAACAAAGGCTAGATTGAATGATGGTGTGTTCCATACGCCGGGAAAAGAAAAAAGATCGAAGTTTGGACGTCATCTTAAAGAAAATTTAGATGCCTGAAAAATGTGCCATTCGGAATAAAATAAATTATTTTTAAGCAGTTCGAAAAGAAATGCCTACGCTCCGAAAACTTATTACAGCAGAACGTATGTTAGTGGATATCAATTTTCAAGGAAATTATGAAACCTGGAAAAAGTGGTAAATGATTTGGATTGCAAATACAAAAAACTAAAAAACAAGGGAACAATCCTCATTGAAAGAACGGAGATTGGGACATAACACTTCAGATACTTAATTAAGGGTTATGCAACAACTTCACGGATATCTCCTCGAACCGGAAGCTAGAACACATTTGGTTTTTGTGGACGATTACTTATGTGCAAACAACATATTTAGTCTTCAAAATGCAGGTAGAATAATAATAAACCTGGCAGTTGACATTTCTCTTGAGGAATTTTACATAGTAGTTCACGCAGGAACTGAAGAAGGGTTTATACCTAACGCACTTATAGTATATAAATCAAAAAATAATCACGCTGGTTTCTATAATAACATAAACAAAGAAAATTTTAAGACATTCATTAGCACAAAATTGTGTAATAATGTAGTGGTTATAGATAACGAATCTTAAGGCGACACCGTGAAAAAATGCACCTCCTTTCATCGAATAGTATAAAGACTATGACACCACTAAGGAAAGTGAAATTTTGATATAGGTAAATTCATGTCTTTATCTTGAATTAGATTGTTCAAAAACACGATTGTATAATTTTGACTCGATAATAATTATTTGCGAAAACACCTCTAAAAAATCATTATAGTTGAAATTACAACGAAATTACTTAATCTATATGCTTGGAAATCACTCAAATATATTCATAACGTAAATATTCATAATTTACTTGCTCATTATTTTGATTACTTAAATCAATAATTTTTTAAAAATTATTTTAAAGTTTCTGAGAATTTCTAAGAGCTTTTAATCGTCGCGGGCGCTACGCTATTTTAGACCTTATGACGGCGTTTTTTCAAGTTTTTATAGAAATTATGTATTCACTCGGATCAGTACGGCGATAGCCTTTTCGATGTGTCGTCTTAACGAGAAAGATGATGTCAAAGAATGGTTAATGACTAATGATGTTGAATTGACAGATGAAAAAGGCTGTTTTATTCGAGCTTGTGAAAAAGCACAAACATGTGCCTGTCTATAACGTTGATAGGATTATTAAAGAACATGGTCATACAATACAAAGGTTGCCTCCCAATCACTGTGACCTAAATCATATAGAGCTAATTTTAAATTTAGCTAAAAGATTTGTCGAAAAAATATAAATAAAAAAAAGGAAATTCCAATATAGAAGAAGCTTTTGAAGTAGAAAATGTGAAAAAAATTATAATGCAATTTGGCGATGAAGATAGATTAGTTCAGATAGTGGTTGTGAAAGTGTACGACTAACAATTGCTGGTAGTAAAATGTATGAAATAGAGTTTTTGGATTCAGACTTGGACTATCATTCTTAAGAAATACCCATAACGAAATAATAATGTCCTCTATATTGCAAATAAAAATTATTTTTAACGTATTTTTTTTAAATCAATACATAATAAAAATAAATAAACACACACGAAAATCTTCGCAACGTGCCGGCTTCCTCACGAAGTAAGCAGAGAGGCCCACCACCTCTCTCGGTCTTGACGCATCATCCGGTCGTTTCAATCGTAGCATTCCACCTTTTCGATTAGTGTGCATTTTTCTAGTCTCAAAACTGTTTGATTCATCGATGATTCTTTCACAGTTTTGCTATAAACTATTTTTCAATTACATTATAACTTGCCATGTGAACTGACTTATTGAACAGACTATCTTTGTTTTGCAAAAGAGAGTCGTAAAAGCAATTTATAACTTAAATGAAGGAGTCTAAGAGAAAAATTTAAAGACTGGTCTGTTTAAATGTTTTTGTTAATACACAGATTTAAAAATAGCGATGTATAATCTGTCAATGCTAACGACAAGCACTGATTACTGACTTGCAGTAATATTAGTTACTAGACTCAAAAAAGGCAGTAACTCCATGGGCCAATGTATATGCTTCTATAACAAAGTGCACAGGATGACATGGTTGGATTGTCTTACACCGCCACTGCACTGCAACTTATAATTTATATTGAATAAATATTATTCTATTCTGAGCAATTTATTACGCAAATGCAGTACAGTAGTCTACAGTTAATATCTATCTATGATATTATAATATACAAAGTTCTCACAGTTGTACAAGTCTACAGAATCATTGCTTATATAACACAAGCTAAGACAGAAAGTTTTGTTTTACCCATAGATGCAGAACAGACGGTTGCGGTAAATCGTTCACCGCATCTCATCATCTGAAAGCGCACGCCCGAACCCACTCTGGATTGCGGCCGCACACGTGCGCGGCAACGGGATGCGGTCGACAGTTCTCTACGCCGACAAATTTGCGAGCACACGCCCAAAAACATCAAGTACGGTTATGTTGCAGTCTACATAATATAAGAATATACCCACCTTTTTAAGCCTTCCACCTTCCAACCAATTTTAAGATTTCTCATAAGTTTGGCAATCATAATACCTACTAGACATGTCGCATCTTTGACTATGTTGCTCACTTCTAAAGTTATTTTGTCTACATAAAGAACTACACATCTCATCTGCGAATAGCCTTGGGAAAATCCCTGTTTTATCTAGCCAGGTCCGTTGTGTCCAATATAATGTTTGTCTAATATTGGTACCTTCTTTAGAATATATCTATTTTTCAGTAATTTTAAGCAAAATTTGAGATTGTGGAATCTTACTTTGACAACATAAACGACTTTTCTCATCAAAACCACTGAATTGCTTAAATTTTCATCGCTCTCCTCATTAAATGACAATAGAAAGAGACAGGTGTAGAGATAATAAATATAGTTGCCGACACGAGTGGTGAGCACAGATAAACTGTGGTGGGAGGTAGGTACACTGTCGGGCAAAATTATTGGATACCTTTATTATTTCAATTCGTAATTTAATATTTTCGGCGACTTTTATGAAAATGTTTACTCGAACACATCAACTTTTACTTTGATACAGTAATGTTGCAGATATTCATGTCTGTTATTTTATTATCTACTATAAAGTATTTAATGTATACCTGGTGGTTAGAATTGATTATTTTATTAAGAAGAAGGAAGAGGTGATATGCCTTCCATAAAATCTGGTGTTGCGGTGCGCCGTACAGTAGCTACTGAGACATTAGTCGCCTCAGCAGTCTGTTTATGTACGTCTATGATGTTTTTCGCAGTACATAATTTTTTAATGTACACTACACTGAATAGACCATTTGTCGGGCTTGTCTATTTAACACCGGATTCTTCCTTCTCTGCATATTTAGACCAAAATCTGAACACTCAAATTATAACAACAAAAATAATTAAAAACAAGCAATAACAAAAACAATTAATAACAAGAAATACACAAACAACAATTAACAACGAGCTGACAAAAACAATTAACGAAAATAAACTTATTAAAAAAGTTATCATTAAAATTATTGCTCTGAAGTGTACGGAAGCCGAATGATACGTTCGAAACGAATAGACGACGAGAATCGAATAATGAACCAATCACGTTGAACGTCAGCTTGGTCAACGTCGTATCGACCAATAAAAAGTGTGCTCACGACTTATTTCGGCAGTTATACTTAATTAGAATAAGCAATAGTAAGGCCGAAATTGTTTATCTACTAGTTATATTTGTTATTTATAGTTTTATAGAAAATACTTCACACATTAACTCACCGAAACCACACTTAAAAAAACGAGGGTTCAAATTCGATTTGTGCGTTTTTTTGCGATAAGCCTTTTCGAACCGCTAATTTGTGAAAATAGAAAGATATCAAAGATATAATCGTACCGTAGTATTCACATTTTAAAATATGACATAAATTTTAACAGTGGTAGAGCCACGTGGCAGCTTTGCTGTTGCACGTATGGGCCGGCTCAAACCGGGGTGGTAACACGATCTAACAGAACACCGGCGTGAAGTTGAAGCTCTGCCCAAATCCCCCCCCATCAACATGGTAGCGGAATTAAATGATGATAGACTACCCCGCGAGGATACCAGCACCCCTGGAGAATCCCTCGCTGAGCATCCACGACCATGTTTCTCCACTTCTGAGCGTGGGTGCTCAGGCTGCCCCGCGTATTGGGGGGGGGGGGGGGCAAAAGACTACAACTGCTCGCGGCAAACGGAGCAACAAGACCAAGGCGACCCCTGCCACGCTGTCCGTGAATTTCTGCAATACCAGGGGACTTCACTCTAACCTAAACGCCGTCCACTACCATCTCGAGACGGCGAGGCCGGCTCTGCTCTTTCTGACCGAGACGCAGCAGGTGTCAACTCCGGCTGATGTCTCGTATCTCTCCTGCCCGGGGTACAAACTGGAACACTCCTTTGTGCCTCGGGCTGAAGTTTGCGTTTACGTCAGAGAGGACATCTGTTCTCGACGCCTCAGCAGACTTGAAGGTTCGGACCTGTCCATCCTTTGGCTACGCGTAGACAGCGACAACCATCCGCGCGTCTACGGGTGCCTCTATAGGTTCTATAGCGGTAATGCCAAAACAGACCGACTCTTCGACCACGTCCAAATGGCTACAGATTCGTTGCTACAGCAGATCCCCTCCGCAGAGATCGTGATCCTCGGCGACTTTAACGCCTATCACGCCTAATGGCTTGGTTCACGTTTAACCGATCATGCGGGGAGATCTGTTCATGATTTTGCCGTGGTATATGGTCTGACACAACTGGTTACCTCGCCTACGCGGATTCCAGATGTAGAGGATCATTCACCTTCCCTGTTGGACCTTCTGCTGACCTCTCACCCGGACGGATATCAGATTTCCGTCGACGCCTCTTGAGGCTCCTCGAACCATTGTCTTGTCCGGAGTGTGGTGCCACTCACGCTGCGAGCATTCTGCTGGTTGCCGCCGTGTTTGGCACTATAGGTCAGCCGATTGGGATGGGATGCGGTCTTTCTTTGCATCCTACCCTTGGGGGCGGGTTTGCTTCTCGCCGGACAATCCCAACGTTGTAGCGGATTCTGTCGCTGATGTGGTACTTCAGGGTATGGAACTTTTTATTCCTTCCTCTGTGGTGCCCATTGGAGGCAAATCTCAGCCATGGTTTGGTGGCTCCTGTAAAATAGCATGATGCTATAAGCAGGAGTGCTACCAAGCCTGGGCTGACGCATCAGCGTCTCGGGATGTAAGCACCAGCGCTCTAAAAAAGAAGTATAATTCCGCCTCTAGGTCCTTCAAAAGAGTCATTGCCAAGGCAAAGTCGGAGCACATAGGAGAATGGCGAGAAACTAGTTCGCCTTCCTTCTGGAACCCGTGCATTCTGATCTCTCGCCAAGGCTGTCCAGGGGAATTTCTGTCAGCCATCTCTTCCATCTCTGCACAGGGAGGACGACTCACTGGCCCATACCGCAAAGGAGAAAGCCGATCTTCTAGGCTCTTTCTTTGCGTCCAACTCGACTCTCGATGACGGGGGGAGTACGCCACCGACCATCCCGCGGTGTGAGTGCTCCATGCCGGAACTGCAGTTCACACAGCGCTCGGTTCGCAAAGCACTCCTCTCCCTGGACATCCACAAGTCGAGTGGGCGTGACGGAATCCCCCCAATTGTGCTGAGGACGTGTGCTCCAGAGTTAGCACCGGTTTTAACGCGTCTTTTCCGGTGCTCCTACTCCCTTGGCGTAGTCCCAAAATCATGGAAGACGGCTTTCGTCCACCCGATCCCTAAAAAAGGTGACCGCTCAGACCCGTCCAACTACCGGCCTATCGCCATCACCTCCTTGTTCTCCAAAACAATGGAGTCCATTGTAAACTGCCAGCTCATGAGGTACCTTGAGGATCACCAGCTGATTAGTGACCGCCAATACGGTTTTCGCCGTGGTCGGTCAGCTGGTGATCTTCTGGTCTACCTAACTCACAGATGGGCGGAGGCAGTAGAGTCCAAGTGGGAGGCATTGGCCGTTAGTTTGGACATTATGAAGGCCTTCGATCGGGTTTGGCACAAAGCGCTTCTTTCGAAGCTCCCTTCCTATGGGCTTCCCTTGAAATTGTGCGATTGGATCACCAGATTTCTTGCAGATCGGAGCATCAAGATCGTTGTAGACGGTGCAAGCTCCGATTTGCAAGCCTATTAATGCTGGTGTTACACAAGGCTGCGTGCTATCGCCAACGCTGTTTCTTCTGCATATCAATGATATGTTGCAAACCCGTAACATTCATTGCTATGCAGATGACAGCACTGGTGATGCTCTTTACACTGGCCGAGCCAATATTTCTCGGGAAAACGTCTCCGATTTCCGGTACAAACTTGTGTCTGAAGTCGAGTCCTTGCTGAACAGAGTCTCGGATTGGGGGCGACTAAATCTAGTCCAATTTAACCCCCAGAAGACACAAGTTTGCGCGTTAACCGCTAAAAAGAACCCCTTTGTCGTATCTCCTCAGTTTCAAGGCACTCCCCTTGTTGCCTCAGCCAGTATCGGAATCCTCGGCGTTGACATATCGAGTGACGTGCAGTTTCGTGGTCACTTGGATGAAAAGGCCAAATTGGCCTCTTAAAAGCTTGGCGTGCTCAGCAGAGCGGGACAGTATTTCATGCCGGCACACCGCCTGCAATTTTACAAGGCACAGGTTCGGCCGCACATGGAATACTGTTCCCATCCCTGGGCTGGGGCTCCCCAGTACCAGCTCCTTCCACTTGACCGCATCCAGCGCAGAGCGGCTCGAATCGTCGACGACCGAGTGCTTTCCGATCGGCTCGATTCACTGGCATTGCGAAGAAATGTTGCATCTCTTTGCATTTCCTTTCGCATATACCATGAAGAGTGCTCTGAGGAATTGTTCGGATTAATCTCAGCCGCCAAATTTCGTGAACGCACTACGCGGCAAACGTCCCGACACCATCCACACCATCTGGATGCTTGGCGATCCACCACTGTACGTTTCAAAAGGAGTTTTCTTCCGCGTACAACCTCTCTGTGGAATAGCTTACCACCGGCGATTTTTCCGGACCGATACGACCTGGGGACCTTCAAGAAAAGAGCTTACTTCTATCTAAAGGGCCGGCAACGCACCTGCAATTCCCCTGGTGTTGCGGTTGATCATGGGCGGCGGTAGTCAGTTACCATCAGGTGAGCCGCATGCTCGTTTGCCACCACTTCTATAAAATAAAAAATAAAAATTTACATTTATGCATATCAGTCAATTTCAATACACAAAATGTAATCACCAACAGGTTATATACAAATAATGATAAGGTTTTGATTGTTTAGCAACCTACAACAAAGTTGATTTTAAAATTGTACTTATGAACTTAAAAGTTCAAAGTTTTGATTCATATCTATTTTTTTTTAGATCGAAGCCGACACTCCTATAGTAGAAGTCATGGAAAACGATACATCTAAAGCGACAAACGATGCTATGAACTGGGAGGGCCTTTTAGAATCGTTTGGGAGAATCACAACAGAGTCGAACTCAACTGATGGCAGTTTAGACGACATCGCTATCGTAAACCCACTACCAAATAATAACGTAGATATAACAGAGTTGCTTTTTGATGACACTACTAACCCCGCAAAATTTGACGGAGTAAATACTTTAGCAGTAGATTACGATTTGAACGCTTTAGATGTAACATTGCCTGAACTAACTAAGAAATCTGATAACAGTTCTTGGGTGGACGTGAGTACCTTACAGCCGATTATTCCCATAACGGAAACCTCGAAAGACCATCTAAAAGTTGAAATTAAATCCAAAGCCTTAGAGCTAGCGTTAGCTAACGAAATCGAAGTACAGTCCTCTTGGGTTGATGTCAGTGCATTAGCTGCGTCAATACAAGATACTCCTGTTAGCATAAAGGAGAAAACACCTGAAAGCATCTTCACTCTTGCCACATTTGTACCGACACATATGCAAAGTTACATAGACCTTAACCCAGAAGTTGCGCCAACAGCAAATATTATATCTCAAAACTCCTTTGATCTTGATACCCCTACTATACTTGATGTCAGCAATAAAGTGTTTAATGACAGTGAATTAGTATCGAATCTCGAACCTAATATAGCATCAAAACTCGATACAGAAATAGATATTTTTCTTAAAGATCCCGACTTGTCTATTGATAGATCGTTAAATACGCCACCTCCTTCAAAGGTTGAGCAAAAAATTGAAATAAATCCAGCAAATTCAGTTCTCTTTAATACAGATTTGGCATTGGAAGATACATTACTATTTGATAATGAACCACCTTCTGATATGTATGTTGTAAGGACAGAGAACATATTTGGCAAGAAATTTGTAAAGAAAAATCCTTTAGAGCAACTAACAAAAGATGCGGGTATTTGTTCTTGTGAAAATTGCGGATGTGATCCTTTTAATGGAGAATGTAGAAATTGTGATGCTGAAAATGTGAAAAGTAATGACAAATCAAGTTGTTCAGATGATAAGTGTTCTTGTGTCGATTGCAAGTGTAACCACGCTGAGATGAAGTGCGCTGTCGGTTGTGGCAAGGCAACAGATTCTAATCATAATACCTTTTTACATTACCATCGACGGCATAATAATTCTAATTTAGAAGAGCTAGGAGTATATACCTTACACGAATGCGACGAAAATGCATCTACAGTGAATATTGACAATTTGCTTTGCTTGTGTAAAAGTATGACGACACCTGAATGTTGTACAAAAAACACTACACCGAGCGACAATTGTTGCGGTGCTAATAGTAATAAATCGTGTTGTGTGACAATATGTTTCAAGAAGATAGATGCTTTTAAACAATTTTTGTCTGATAACAACTTAGTGCATGCTCTAAAAACGCACAATTGGAACGTAACAGGCCTTTAATTTAGTCGCTTCGTTGTCGTCCTCGTTGCATTTAATGTCTTATAAAAGTTTTATGTTTCATGCAATATTTTATCTGATTCTTTAGCACGTATACAAAAAAATGTTGGACATTTGGATAGGATTTCCTAAGTTCAGACAACAATGACAAGAATATTACATGTGAATTCTTTTATAAAATCATTTTGCTATATAGTAACTTTCATAGCTTATTTATATTGTTGAGATTTATTAAATGTAGCATGTTAATGTTTGTTGACAAACATTTCAATTTATAGTCTATGAAACAAACTATATTATTATATTTCAGAATGTAAAACATTATTTTACTAAGATGTAAAACAAACACTTGTTGTAGTAAGAAAAGCTAATGTTAAAAGAAATAATGATTACCAAAAATGTACTGGCAAAAATGCTAATTTCTTTTTTTGTATAAGAATTTATGATTACCAAAAGTTAACTGGCAAATATCTTAATTCATTATTATATCAAACTTCGTTGTTTTTAATCAATTTAAGAAATTTAATTTGTTTTACATAGCAGGGTCCTATGTAAAATAATATAGATACATGACAGTTAGCGGTATGTTGTCTTGTATACAGTTTCGTTTATTACATCAAGTGTCAAAAACAACACGTGCCGGTACAGCGATTTTGTGTATATGGCAGATCCTACAATACTAGTCAATCCACACTTTCATAGTAGATAACTATGTCTTGAAAATGATTTGTATAAAATGAAATTGATTTGTACGGTTTATGTACCAACAGTAAGCAGACGGTCCAAAATTGTATGAGGCGTAGGCCCTGTTTTATACTAGTAGGAAATTATATTAAAATATTAAACCACTTTTGATCATTAAAATTCACGAATTAGCTATTATTTCAGTGCTATTAATACTTCACTTTCACTAAAAAATGCAACACTAATGTGCGAATAGATGTCGTTTTGACGTTAGCTGTCAACTGTCATGAGGTTATTGATCCATTCATTAATTTTTATTTGAATTCTGAAATGTACTAATCTGTTATCCCTATCACTAAACCAAAATCAAATAGAGAAAACCACCAGGAACACAATAAACGCATTAAGAGTATACAACTACACGACCATTTTGTTTGCAACATTGCAAGCTATTTAGTTTGATTTATTCACTTATTTTATTTTTAATAAAATTGCTGAATTTTTCGCTTCTTTACGGTTTAGTGTATGTAGACTTGGCCTGAAATGAACCGTCTCCTTTACAACGATTGTTTATAGCAAATGCAGGGTGTCGTGTTAGTTCGACCAAACCTTTTGATTTTAACTTTATTCATCACAGCCTTTTTTGTGTGTTGGATACAGTGTACAGGACTACTGAATGTAAGTCTCCTCCATAAATTGCTTTTAAGGTGCAAGATCCTGCTCGTAGACTGCTATTTATTTACTCTTACATTGGGGTACAAATTATGTTACATTTTTGAAATATTTTTTATAGGAAGTACTTAACTATGTGCACTAATCATATATTATTTAGATTAAAAGTCGTGCTGACTATAGTCTTATATTTTTGCTGTTCAAGTTAATATGTTGTTCTATGTAATTAGTCTTAAAACCAGCGTGCCTTACAGATTTCATATCGTAATTAAGGGAAGACTTCTGCCTAAGTGTTCACTAGGGCTGATTTCACCCTCTTACCTATTACTAAATAAATGTGTAGACTTGAAGAAAAGTTTATGCCATGTAGTGGTATATTTGCATACAGCCCTATATTATAAAAATAAGTTTAAAATTTAATGTTAAAATGGTGAAAAGTGTAAGGCTCTAGCAAGCCATTATGAATAGTGAAGGTATTTGTGAAGGCTGTCATTGATATTATTTCATACTTCCAGTAAGAGATTATAGAACAATAAAATGTTTGGTGCTATTTTATTTACATCAATGAACTTCATCAATGTACTTAAAATAATTAAAGGAGTTTATAAAAGTGGCACACAGTAACCTCTAGGGTTACTTTGTGCATACAGGATCATATTTAAGTATTATTGTCAAATTTTTATTAAATTGTGATAATGTTTGATCACAATTTTATATAAAATGAAAACATAGAGCAACATGGGTCACCGGCAGACCGGAGGGGAGTAGCCATAGCGTTTTCCCTCAATACAGAATTGTCGGTCATTTTTTGCGGGATGAAATAAAAAACAATCGTCTATACTGCGAAACTCACAATACAAGTAAAAACAATAAAGAAACAATTTCACACAAATATAGATACATTATAAAGGTATCGCTCGGTGATACCGACAACTTGAATACAGATTCTGATCAGTCAGTCCATTGATCTGTATATTATATGGGGCAGCAGCTGTGTTGGTTATCGAATCCGGAACAATACAACAGTTATTATTGTAATTTTTAAGATTAAAAAGAAGTAAATAGCAACAATGTGAAAAATTTACTTATATATGAAAGGTAACGCGTATTTTGTAAATTTGACGTGCCAGATCTCTTTTGCAGCAAAAAACTAAACAATTAGTCTAGTGAGCAATGCGGCTGTAAATAGTTTTATTGTACACAGGACCGCATGGACTTACACTTTGACTAAGGTAATGCCTGCATATGGCTGCTCCCTTCCGATCCGAAAAGAATAATAAATTAGAAATATTTTTGACAGTCAATGTTAAACATTTTACTACTGTAGAACAAAACTTTGTATGTCTCAAGATGCCATAATATATTTAAAAGCCAATTATTGTATGTTGTTATTGTTAGAGATTTTTATGTATACAATAATATTTTGTTAGAAAATTGGTGCTATAATGTAAGATACCTTGTTTATTACTATGTTGTGCTTGAAAATGTACAAATTGTTAAATAATTTTATATGAGATTTTTAATTGTTAGCTGGATATAACTGAGCAATAATGAACGCTGTAATTTTTCTAGTCCATATAATAACAAATAAACGCTTTTTGAGATTATCCATTTATTTATTGAACCTTAAAATATAAGAATTAAATAAAAATGTTATGATAATGATATTTCAATCAATAATTTGACAGTTTTTATTTAAGTTTAATACTACTGCTAGGCAGATGACAGATTACACAAGATTTTGTTTCAAATGAAAACTAGCCACAGGTAATGATGACCTTAATTAAAAACATAATTATTAGAATTAATACTCTACAAATAAAGCTAAATAAATCTAATTTAAACATATTGACCTTTTCATTCAGTTTGTTAGAGATACTTCAGTAGATATTCATGAAAACCATTTTAATTAATTATTATTATTTATATGACATTTAATTAAATGTAAATATAATATAATAGGACTAGGAAATTTGAAATAGACTATGACAGAATAATCAAAATATAAATTAATCTATTGTGAGATCAAAAGATTAAATTAATCCTACCAGAAACAATTGTGAAAAGGGGCTAAGTTCGTCAAGTACAAGCAATATTCGTGGATGTCGGCTTCGCCGATAAGCGTTGAGTTCTGAACGGGCGCAAAGCTCCATATAAGTTCCAAGAATGTTGCACATCCCTATAGATCCTATGATTTAAGCAACTTGGTCCCACTTTCACATTTTTGTTTTTAATAGGATATCATTGATTTAAAAAAAGTCTTTTATTATTTTATTAATCTAAATACCTTGTTTTTTCTTGCTTTTACTCTATTTTTAACTTAAATAAGAATTAAATTTCGACAAAGTTATTGGTCTCAATATATAGTGTAGTTAAAAAACTGAATTTGAATAATATAACAATATATATTATATGTATAAATGATAAAAGATATTGGTAAAATATAAATAATGAAAAAACAAACTAACCGCACATAAACCTGTAGACATAGGATGTAGATAATTTGTATATTTTAGATTTTTTACTTTAAAAAACAACTTGTTTACATTTAACACCTAACTTCAAGTTTATAAGTAACAAAAAAAGTGTCTTGGCTGATGCTTGATGACTGAGTCAGTTAGTGATAAAAATAGCATTTTTCAGAACTCAATAACGCAATAACTATAGGTTTATTCATGAAATTTAAGTGTTCTAGGTATTATTAGGGATCCTTATTAATTTACTAAAAAATTACAAGTGTTGGGTCTAATAGTTTTTGAGTTATGGGACATCCCAATTGTTTGTGTAAATATTATGCACATTATATGCAATGCCATTGCATAGCAATTTTTTTCTTAACTTGGCTGTTTGTGTATCTAGATAAAAATTACCAGTACCCATAATATATGTTTTTTTTTTATTTAAAAATGGTAAATATTTAGAATATTTCGTACTTAAGAAGAAACATATAATTTTGATATTTCTGTTATACACTTATTCTGACAAAATAAAATTTAAGCTGATAATTCTTAAACAGTAAATCCATTTCCTTCATTATATCTCGTGCTTTTATTACAAACAAAAAGTATCCGTACAGAATAAATCAAGTGATAAAATCCAGCTTAAAATAACTAAATTATATGATATGCTATTACATGCTAAAATTACTCATTTGATTAGAACCTACATTTTTATACTACTGCATGGAATGGGCATTGTGAAATTCATTATTAACAATTAAATGTAACAATTACTAATTGTAATATTTATTCAATGGCCATTATAATATTAAATCTGAGAAACAACATTAATTAAATGACAAATAAAGTCTGTTCGCTTAGATACGGTCGCCTGTATCGCGATGGCTTGGACTTGGCGCATCTTGTTAAAGGCGATATCAAAGGACGCCGCAGGAACAGCAGGAGCATTAAGCATTTTAAAACTAAACGTCTTAGTGAAAGGTTCATGGCTACCTAACTTGTGTTTATTATTTATATTCATATTTTATTACTATAACCATAATAATAAAATAGTATTCAATTTTATTCTTAGAACAGAAAACATTTATTTAACACAGTAAAAAATAATAAAATAAAAGCGAGATAATAATTGCGCCTCCGGGAGTACCGAAACTACCTAAGCGAACAGACTATATGTACATTAAAATA